TTGCGGAATGTGATAGTAACTATCAGATTAGTCACTATTAGCTCCAGTGACTAAGATTGCTAGGTGGTTACCATTAGTGATTAGCGGTGGCCGGAATCACTATTGGTGCAACGTGATAGTAAATTATTAACTTATCGTCGGAGACATTGTATTAAGGAGATACGTAGTCACTATGAGATTTAAGCTAGTTATTTAATGGTCACTAATGGAGGCGGCAGTTGTGCTGGTGGCGTCGACAGTGACAGTGCTGACGGCAATGGCAACAATGACAGTTTCGGTGGTAATTGCGGCGGTGGTAATTGTGGATAACTAGACGATGTTGATTCATTATAAAAATAGAATGTCATAATAATAAATATGATTTTAACTAAAGATATAGATGTAGTGATTACGGGTTAATTACTTTATGAAAACTTTAAAACAAGTCAAATTTTTATCTTTTTTACTCATTGGGCTGGGCCATCCTTTAATACTCCAGTATAAGATATTGGGGCCAATTAATTCATGAAATTCTATTCACAGCCCTTTTTTTAACTATTAACAGTCATAAATTAATTATTAATTAATAAAAATACATCGGTTAAAAAATAATCAGACCCATCATATCAATCAAGACACTAAAATAGCATCATAAATTTATAATGATTCTACGCAGTTTGTTTATTGATAATTCTATTTACAACCACCAAATTAAATATTATAAATCTGGTTATTTAAAATTTCTAATGTGCACATTAAGTAATAAAGTACATTATTTCAATACACTAGACACATATCTGATATTTGATGTATTCAATATATTCGCATGTGTGATCTTTTTAAAAATTTATGTATACTTTTCAATATTATATTAGTTGATTGAAAGAGTGATTAATTAATACTCCGTATATTAAGAGTATGATGATACACACATATAAATTATATATAATAACTACTTTCAGTTAGGATTAATAAAAAATCTCCATGTTTTATACATTAATTATGTGTTCTTTAATATATATTATATGGTTGGAGACTTATAATAAAAACAATATGGTTGAGGACTTAAATGATTAATATTAATATAAAATGTAGTAATTACAAATAAAGTGTGTTGAGTCATTATAAATTTGTGTTGATTCATTAAGGGTTAAATTATTTTTAATTATGTATTTTTATTAATAAGTAATTGGTGGTTGTGAATAGCAAATTGGGGGCTGTCGATAGAATTATCTATTCGTGATTTAAAGTAGGTCCATAAAAGCTTTAAATAACTGATAGGGTTGTTTCAGAATTTACATACGATTAAGTATGAACAAAGCCTAATTGTACAAATGAAAGGCCCAAATTAGTCACTAACTTTTTAAAATTTCTAAAATAAAACTTACTTACATAAATATGGTTAACTAATAGTTACGACATTATAGCGTCATACTGTCATAGTGACTTAAATTTAAAAAATGAAGTTAAGTTACTATCATTAAGTTATTATTACTATAGTCACTACTTACATTTTTATTAACAATCTTTATTTTGTCATAAATATGTAATTATTTCTTTTAAATATCCACAAAGCCATTTACCCAATATAATAAAATTCAGTCACGAAAGTAACAATTAAAATAAAGTAACTAGTGTTGAGTAAGTTGGCGTGTTTAATCAGAAAATAAATAAATAAATAAATAAATAAATAAATAAATAAATAAATAAATAAATAAATAAATAAATAAATAAATAAATAAATAAATAAATAAATAAATAAATAAATAAATAAATAAATAAATAAATAAATAAATAAATAAATAAATAAATAAATAAATAAATAAATAAATAAATAAATAAATAAATAAATAAATAAATAAATAAATAAATAAATAAATAAATAAATAAATAAATAAATAAATAAATAAATAAATAAATAAATAAATAAATAAATAAATAAATAAATAAATAAATAAATAAATAAATAAATAAATAAATAAGTAAATAAATAAATAAATAAATAAATAAATAAATAAATAAATAAATAAATAAATAAATAAATAAATAAATAAATAAATAAATAAATAAATAAATAAATAAATGGGACATAAAGCCAAGTCTTGTGCAAAACACAATTTCCTTAAAACTTATTCGCTACCTCCCACGGTGCTACGAGCGTTGCGGCAAAAGTTTCCTTGGATACGGTGGCTACGAACAACCGTATGAGCACACAATCGGTCGTTCCGGTGAACGAAAACAAAGCAAAAGGTATTTTCAGAAAGATGGAGGCAGATTTTAGCTGAAAAACTACGTGTAAAGTGTGAATTGTCGTATGTTGTTGAGAATCGATCACCTGCCAGCAATATATAGGGATGAATTTGTTGTGTGTTAAGTGAGGTTTAATGGACCAGAACGTTGGGTATTAATATGTCCAGAAACTGTCAATCTAAAGATGCATTAAAGGAGAAGAGCGTTGGACATTAAATATTATTTTTGTATGATAGATTTACGGACGATATTCATATCCGCAGGTCGCACGAGCACGCAAGTCGCGATTTTTCTTCTCCTTTTTCGGGATTTGATCCGCACCCCCTGTGCATGAAGAGAGTCTTTCCACAAATATTGTATACCGGTTAGGGGAGTATGCAATGAATATTTTAGAAGTATTGACATTTTAAGGAGGAAAAAAATGTAAAAGAAAAGGAAGCTTACCTATTGCGATTTCGTTTGAGCGACTGACCAGAAGCACACGATTAGGTCTTCATATGCGAGAGGCGATTGGATGGAAAAATTGAACCAGATTGAAACAAGGGGTAGTTCTATGCAAGAAAGAGGCCAATGCCGGGAGTGGGAATGAGAGAAGAGGGAAAGCAGATAACAGAAGAGGGAACCACACATGCCTTTTGGCAAATATTAACTTGTCCAAGGATCACTTTTGCAATTTTTATTTTTTAAAAAAGAAATAGCTGACATGGAGTGAATGTCAAATAGGAGTACGCCACACGTTGTATGTACCAAAACATCTTCTAATATGATGGTATGGGGAAGCTTTCCTTAATAAATACAGACAATGATGTATCTAGGAATTGTTGTGAGTGAGGGCGAATTTACATTATATTACATATTCTAGTCATCATGTCACAAACAGTTGAATACAATAAGAGTTTTTTGTGAAGTTAGTTACAAATAATAAAATATTTGTTGGACAAAAAACATGAAAACATACTTAACACATTTCAGAAATAAATTAGATGACTTAAATAAGGGATGGATATTGTATGTATTTTGTATTAATGTAAATTGTGAATGCACAATTATATCTAAAAACCAGTTTATATTTAGTGCAAAAATGTAATTGAAAAACTTAATAAATTATACTACCTCCATTCTCTTTTAGTTGTAACACTGGTGATTTTGCTCTATTCACATATTCTACTTTGACTATATTTTATTTATTAATATATTACAAATTCAAATTTTGAAAAAAGTAGTTAATTTCTCTCACTTTAAATTATCAAGATCTGAATTTTTTATATTTTTACCAGTAAAGAATGAAAGATACTCATGGTAGAATTTATATATTGACAAGCATGAAAAGTGGATTGTTATATTAAAAAAGAAAGGTAGAATTATGAGAAACAAAAATCTTAATGAAGTAGTTTAATCTTTCAAATTAAAGAAAAAATGATAAAACTATCTAAAGTCACTTAGAAAAAGAACATGAAAGAAAGAGGATAAAAAATAAGATTCACAAGGAAAGGGCACTTCCGCTTGGCCAAAGAAATTTTTGTCATTCTTAGCATAATTAATGTATATAATACTATATTTAGCATATATATATATATACACGATTATTCCTGTCCGGAAATTCCGGACAGGAGCCTTGTCCGGCCTCCTCCATTTGGGGGCCTTTCCGGTGGTATTTTTTGACCAAATTTGTTGTGTATGTTCCTCATCAAGTGTAGTTCATCCACACCAAATTTCAGCCAAAAATTCAATCGGAAAGGTTGTCAAATGATTTTTGCAAGTTAACTGGTCCGGAATATGTATTTTCCGGACCAGTGAACTTGGAAAAATCATTTGACGACCTTCCCGATTAAAGTTTTTGCTGAAATTTGGTATGGATGAACTAGACTTGATTAGGAACATACACAAAAAATTTGAGCAAAACATACCACCGGGAAGGCCCCCAAAAGGAGGAGGCCAGACAGCGCTCCAGTCAGGAAATTCCTGACCGGAAGATTACTCTCTCTATATATATAATTTAATTTTAAATATATATATACACACAGGATTTGTGTGGGTATTGAGAGGGGCAGCTGCCCCCACTGCCCCATAGTAGATCCGCCACTGAATACGGAGTATGTGGTTTAGGTCGTGAACTGACACACAACTCACCCTCCACGTTGGATGACCGAGGAGCATCAAACAATCAAGTCCAAAAATTACAACACCAACCTATTCTTAAACAATGTTGTGGCGAGTTAAAGACATCAACCCACTTTGATACCTCTTCATAAAACCCAAAACAAACCCAAAACTTTGACATTAAGCTTTGTATATATGTGAATATCAAGAGATCAGGCTAACAACAAGTTTGTCTATCTAAACACTAATACTTAATCTGTTACATATGGAAAGTAAGACTCCAAGTCGATCATATGACAATATGACAATATGAATGTAGTAACAACTCCAACTTATTCTGTTACGTATGGAAAGTAAGACTCCAAGTCACCAGTGATCTCTTGTATTACATATAAATATATAATATATACTACTCGTGCCGTTTTACACAGTTGAACCAACTCAATCCGGATCTGTGAGATTGGTCATTATTCCCATTACCAATGAAAGGTATAAAGTAGTAACCATATTTTTGGTGTGACAACTTACAAAGAGCCCCATCTAAAAAGTCTCACATTCCACAAACCCTACATACAGAGTGGTTATATTGGGTTTGTTTGGTTTGGTTAAATTTTGTTCTTGTGATAGGAGAATATGTGATAACAATGCCATTACAAGTAACAGAACACATTCACCATTTTTTTATCAAGAAAAAAATATAACATGATACTCGGTATGTATAATCATTGAAACAACTGCAAGGACTTTATTTCATCACATACTAAAACTAAATTGCTTCATTAGTATACCATAACTATAGCTCTATAATATAAAAAAAAATAGCTCTATAATAACTAAGAATGTTGCTTGTTCAATTTACACATCAGTTGTTGGAGTTCCGCAAGTCAATTCCATCAGGCATCAGCCTTTCACAAGCTGATGTTTTGACCTTTCGGTGTATTCGTTAACAAGCTTGGTAAATGAGGATGACTTGTTTGCTAATAGTCTGTCAGGAGAGTCATATTCCTCAATAAGCCCTGCACCATTAATGAATTTCAACATAAAATCTAGAAAGTGTGCGTGCATGTTTGTGTGAACATGTTAAATAACAATAAGACGAAGATAAGGAAATACTCACCATTACTCAAAAGTAGAACCCCATCACAGTTAAGAATGGAAGTTATTCTATGTGCAATTGTTATAACAGTGGAGTCGGAAAAGTGATTCCTAATGGTTTGCTGAATCAAGTTATCGGTGGCAGTATCAACCGATGCAGTAGCTTCATCAAGGACCAAAACCTTACTCTTCTTTAGTAGCACCCGCGCTATACAGATAAGTTGTCTCTGACCCATACTCCAGTTCTCTCCATTTTCCGTAACTTCACAAACCATAAAAATCAGTACTTAGACTTCGGTTTCATCCTTGTAGTTAGGAGGAGTAATATGTGATCTTAAAGTAATATGCAGAGTAGTAGTTTAATAACTCATGTTTGACTGTTCTGAGATAAACACTCCAACAATCGGGCCACGACAAGTTTAAAATAATTGAATACATTTTTATTATTATATAACTGAGTAACTCACCTATGGAATCTAAGTCATTGTCCTTCTTCCTGATTTCGTAACCAAGTTGGCATTTATCAAGAACCTATATATACCATAAGTAAATATGAATGAGGGGCGTTAGAGGAATTCTTTTTTCATAATAAGAATGCTAATGTGTTACAAGTTACTTTTAATCTATATAAAATCATTATCAACTCACCTCCCAAATTTCCACGTCAGTGTAGGACTCAAGAGGGTCCAAGTTGCTCCTGATTGTACCTTGAAACATGGTAGGATCTTGGGGAATGATGCTTAGTCTCGATCTGAGATCGTGCAAACCGATCACCGAAGTGTTGATACCATCAATCACAACATGTCCGTTTGCAGGTTCCACTATTCGGAATAGAGTTTGTATGAGTGTTGACTTTCCACTACCAGTTCGGCCTACAATACCAGTTTTCTTCCCTCCCGGAAAAGTGCACGTGAGACCCCGCAGCACTAGCGGCAAGTGAGGGGCATAACGCACCTGCATGTTATATTCATTATTACTTCATATATGCCATAAAGGTATTTTTCTTGTAGATTGCCGAATAACTAACAAACATGTTAAGTATGAATTATGAAACATTCGAGGCATCTTTGTTGGGGGTTTCGGAGAACAGAAGAAGATTTCTTTCTTTGTTTTACTACATTTTCATTTTGTAGTTTCTAATGTATTTCTATGTAATTTTTTCATCTTCACTTTCTTCCAAACTATCTAAATATAAGAGTAAATTTAAAAATAAAACTTCCTTAGTTCCTTCCTGAAAACTCCCAAACCAAGCAAGAGCTTAGTTAAACCAACAAATACGTCTTAAAATTATATGCAAGTGTTAATAGTTAGGCATTGTCAAGGTTAACCTGCAGAGTGGCAAATTTTAAAATCTCTATAGATGGGCATTGTATAATTTAAACCAAACTAGAGTTTATTTGTTGAGTAAATCAAATAAAGCAGGCAAACATTACCTGTAGATTGGCTATACCAACTTCTCCATGAGATGGCCATGAAGGTTCTGGTTGATTTACATCATATATTATAAGAGGGGCCTCACTAGGGATAGACACAAATTGAAGTATCCTCTCTACTGATATCATCGCATACTCTAGATTGCAAATGTTCCATATCACCTTCGCTTGAGCCGTATTTAGGTTAAGTCCATAAGTCACAGCCAAACCAGCAATGGCTTAATAAAAAAATATTACAAGTTAACAGTAATCCATGTTGCGGCTTACAGAAACCACAGTTATTATACATACAAACCATGACATACATACCTGGATTGATTCCATCTGAGAAACCGACTAGGAAAAATAAACAAAAGGCAAAAGTGATGCAAGAAAGCATGTCTAAGCGAAGACCAAGCCATTCGACCGCACCAGCACTATGGAACTTCAACTGAGAATATGCGTCATTCAACTTCATATTTGAATTTTGAAATCTGGACTGTTGATCAAAACTTCTAATGGTGACTGCTCCTGAAATCGTTTCAGAAAAATGCTGGATAACCGGAGCATTGCAGGTTCCAACCAGCCGTGAAAGTTCTCTTGCACAAGGTATGTAATAATTCTGCATCATAAAAGCAACATTTCATTCCAACATATTCTTCCATGTTTAATGTTAGAGACTTAGAGTCCATATTCAAAAGTTAAAGATAGAACGATGAGTTAATAAGGCATTAGGTTGAACTAGTTAATATGTTAGTTAAGTGTTGTTTGACCCAAGTGCCTCATGACCAAGTTGATTGACCTCTACTCAGTCATGAACTTTATGGAGTATCATTTAAAATCCAAATAAGGAGAATATTACCTGGTACCAGATGCATGCAGATATCACGGGTATAAAAATGACAAACACTTGCCACGCTGCCTGAGACATCACTGTGATTGTGCCCAGAAGATTGATCATTAAGAAAACAACTACATAAACCCGGTATGATATGTTCTCGTCTACTTCGCTTTGGTCAGTTGAGCACTATAAGACCCAAAAAAATCCAATAAGGAATAAGAAGAATTTAACAAACATTATGTTTAATATCTTTAAAATGTGAGATTCCATTTTTAAAGGTCAACATGATAGGGGTGTATTTCAAGGTCTTATATGTAGGTTTATTATTAAAAAAAGGATGACACCCCATCCCTGAGGGCCCCCAGAACCGACAGGACAGTTACCTGCGAGGAGGGGGGTAGGTTTGTTATTCAATAATTAGCCCATGTTGACAAAGCTTTAATACGTATCTAACAAATCAAATGCTGTGTGCTGAACTTACTCTATTAAGAATCCGTCCACTTGGGGTTGCATCAAAGAAGGACATGGGAGCACGAAAAATGCACGAATGCATTTTATTAAACAGTATGGTTGCGGTTTTATACCCTGCTGTCTCGAGGAGTATGGACCTAAACAGAATGCAAACAGAACTGACGAAAACGAAAGCAACATAAACAGCTATGAGATTGTACCCTATCTGCTTTGCATCCTTAGAAGAAGTAGGAGCAGCCCCAGCCATCCAATAGTTACTACCAATCAAAAGGACCTGATAAAGAAGATGTAGCAACAAAATTATGGGAACTAATGCTCCTCCGTATACCATAGTTAGATATTTCCAGTACACTGGGAATCCGACATTTCCTTTTCCTCTTTCTTCTTCATTAACAAGTTGTCCCCCTTCCTCCATAGCAGCAGCTGTCTCATCATCAGGTTTAAGACACTCTTCTTTCAAGGTATCCTCATTAGAATTGGTAATACTTTCTGTAGTACTACAATCTGGCTCTTCATGTTTAGAATCATTAAGTGTGGATAAAGCTAGGTTATGTGCACCTAAAAGTTCCATAAAGTCAGACCCTGACTTGAGAATGTCCTCATATGTTCCAGCTTGTGTAATCCTTCCATCTTTCATGACCTAAACAGAATTAATGTCAAAGCTGAGTGAAACAGTCCTTATAGTATAAAAATATATGAAAAAAATCCTCAAGCATTACTAAGGAACTAGCAATTCAACAAAATGTTAACATTTTAATTTTAGGAAAAAATATTACTAATACGGTAATTATGGTCAACGAACGATGACTGCTTATGACCAAAGTTATATACCAGCATCTGGTGAGTCACTGTTCCTAAATCCTAACTGCGTTGGTAACATTTTATGTTCTAAATTTAAAATTTTAATGTTTTATCAAATGAGTAGTTAATAAAAGTAGAGAATATTACCCGAAATAGGACTAAAAAGGTTTGAAAATTCCAAAATAGGACTGCCATGTTTTTATTCCCAAAATAGGACTAATTACTGCCATGTTTTGGCATTACCAGACTTCAAACATGGTAGTATTTTACAAACTTGGCACTAATTACTCCTATTTTGGGAATAAAAACATGACAGTCCTATTTTGGAATTTTCAAACTGTTTTAGTCCTATTTCGGGAACTTTCCCTAATAAGTACTGTAGTTTTCAAGAGAAGAATCCTTAAATAAATAGGAAACTAAAATGAGAAAAGAATATGCATAGTTACTTACTAGTATAAGATCAGCAGCATGCAAGAACTCAACTTGATGAGTCACATAGACAACAGTTTTTTGACTCAAAAGTCCAAGCAAAACTCCCTGTTGTGAGATGAACAAACAAATATACTTTATTAGCACTATTTATTAAACTGTGACAGAATTCAAGATTGGATTAAGTTCACTAACTGGACCACAAGTCACTTGGACCATACCACACTAAAAGATTGAGTTCACTTGGACCATACCACAATAGTTATCCAATGTCCATCTAACCTATCATTCTCTTTATTTTTCTGATGTAGGATTGTAAAGGGAAGACAAAAATAATGATTACCTTGAATAAATGAGATCCAGTATGTGCATCAACGGCGCTAAAAGGATCATCAAAAAGATATATGTCAGCATCTTGATATAGAGCTCTTGCAATTTGGAATCTTTGTTTTTGTCCACCACTTAAATTAATACCCCTTTCGCCGATAATGGTCTGATCTCCGAATGGCAAGATTTCAAGGTCCCTCTCCAAGGCACATGCCTCCAATATGCTCTCATACTTACTCCTATCCATTTCTTTACCAAATAAGATATTCTCTTCAATTGTCCCACTCTGTATCCATGGTGACTGAGCAACATACGCCTTTCTCCCGCACACTTTAACCGAGCCTGAGATTCTTGGAACTTCTCCTAAAATGGAAGATAGCATGCTAGACTTGCCGCAACCAACAGTGCCACATATGGCAACTCTCATCTTTCGAATTACCTTCAAATTTATGTCTGTTAGAGTTGTAGAATTAGAGCCCCAAGAAAAGCAGCCCCTTGTTATCTCAATTGCTATGTCAGAACTTTGAATCTCCTCTACAGCATCAATAGGCAAGTCATCAAGAGAAAGGAAATATGATATTCTACAAAGGGAGACTTTTGTCTGAGCGATTGTAGAAATTAAAGAAGGAATATTTGTCAGTGGATCTTGAAGCATTCCAAATGTTGCGAGTGCTGATAAGATCTTTGCCGAGTCTAAAGGGATTTTTAATAGCACACATGCAGAGAAGGAAGTCACAGACACGAAAATAGGAGCGCACCAGAAAACAAAAGTTACAAAGGCAGAAGTGTAAAGAACTTTCTTCAACCATTGTTCTTCGGTTTTACGAAGTCCCATGATCTTCGACAGAAATTTCATATCCCAAGCCTGAAGCTTGATAATCCTCATGTTTCTCAAAACCTCAGAAGTTGCCTTAATTCTCTCATCTTTAGCTTCCATCAGTTTCCCATCAAAACTGGCGTATAGTTTTCCTAACGGATACTTCACTGCTATGAGTATACAAGTTCCACCAAGTGTGGCAAGAGAGGCAAGCCCGAGATTTTTATACAATATGAACAAAGCTAAACTTATTTGAAGAAGAACTACCCAAGGCTCGTGAATTTCGATGCCACAACTCTCAATCTGTTGAGCATCAATTGTCATGAGATTAATTTTCTGACCACTTGTGTTTTCCCCGGAAGAAGTCACCGTTAAGCCCTTGTGATATATCAATGTCACAATCACTGCACGCATTCTCATTCCTATTTGCTTAAGCTTAAAGAAGCTGCATCTGTATGAAAAGCGTTCTACTAACTTTGCAACCAGAAAGGATGAAGCTAAAAGATAGCCCTGATTTCTGAACTTCCCTTCCCCATTAAGGCAGCTAACAAATTCGCCTATGAGGTATGGACCAACATAAGAAGCTAAGGTGTATGTCAAGGAAAGGAAACCTGTCAAAAGAATATCTCTCCAGGCAGACAAGAATAATGCCTTGACAAGGTTCAATGCAGAAACTCTAGTGGCAGTGTCACCTTGGGACTCAAGAAGTTTACTTCTGAAAACTGGGAATGCTCCAAAAATACTGTCTTTACTATCAAGCTTAGGAACATCAACAAAGTCTAATGGTTTTCTGTTGCCAAGTTTGATTAGAGAACTGATCCAAGAAAAAGTAAGAACACTGAAAAGGCCTGCCCTTGAGTATGGGGTTACAGAGTTATCCCTTTTGCACTCCTTTGAATTTTTTTCATCCAATAGCGGTTCATCTAGTTGGTTATCTTCGCCGCTCTTTGTTTCCATCTTCCTGAAAATAATTAGAAAGAATGGAAAAAATATGACTTCTACTCTTGACAAAAATGTGATTAGCTTTATTTTAAATTTGACTAACTATGTTCAAAAGCTTAAATATTTGCAACGGCATGGCATTGACTACTCTTATCCGGACCGGCCACACAAGAGGTTTAATACTCTGTATCATTATCACACAAAAGCGTAGACTAAATTATATCGCATTAAAACAATAAGCATCTTGCCTCTCATGATCATGACCAATTAATCCGAAGTAAATGAACAATTTCGTATTGGCAGCGATCTAACGGAATCACAAGTCAAGTTATTTTCTACGCACAGTTTCCTTTTTACCTCAATGAGGTTTCTGTTCCCCTTCTGCGGGACGAAGCAGATTCAGGCGACGATCAGGCTGAAGTCATGGATGTCTATGACCTTTGTCCAGGGGCAATGATGCCGCGAAGAATAGCAGCGAATGTTCTCCGGTGATGGCGCCGGTTGTCAAAGCCTCCCACAGAATGAGGTGAAAATGGAGAAGCTCAGATGAACTCATGCGGCAGACGACTGGTTTGTAGCACCTGTCTTTGACTCTGCGAATACTACGTACGCGTATGGAATGCAGTGCTAGTCTAGGATGGTGTGCTCATCATTAATCGAAGTTTCATAAATTATTTGGCAAATATTTTGATTTAAAAAAAAATCTTTGACAAATCTATATAATATAAGGAACCCTCTAGAGGAATTGTTGACATGTGGCAACATCCTTTATATGAAAAAATGACACGTGGCAACACCTCATGGAAGAACAACTGACACGTGTAAAAGAACTTCAATGTAGCAATTAGAAAAAAACAGTCAATTTTCAAAATAAAAAAAAAACGTAGCAATTAGAGAGTATACTCTTTGCAACATACTGTGCATAGCTTTTACTACATGAATATCAAAAGACACTAAACATATGTGTTTTTTTTGTAACCTTTTGAGTTTCCAATGAAAAAGTTTTGACTCAGTATGCTGATTCTTGCAAAAATTGTATCTAAAATATTTGTATTAATAAATAAAATAAAAAGTTAGAAAACAACGATCCTTTACAGTAAATTCAGCCAATACAATCAGAAAAGTAATTACAACTTTATTTTTGTGCTTATTACACAATTCAGCGCGCGAAATAAAAAGTTACGTATTTGATGAAAAAAGGAACACCAAACGGGCACAATGTGATAGTGATCACTATTTTTTAGCCGACAAGTAGTTTTAGCTGAAAACATATAACTCTCTCAAATGGCCTGTCAGACTTTTATTATGAGATACATGGTACAGTATATCCCTTAAGATCCTACCTATGTAACATCACTACATATACGTTTGATACGTTTGAAACCGTGCACAACATCCAAGTCCCAGTCCTAAGAGAATTTGAGATTGGCTAACTCATATTTCAATTTGAGATTACTAAGTGATAAAGTCGACCGTCACATGTCTATCACACCATATACCACCTTTGTATAATATACTAGTTTTTACACGCGCGATGCGCGATTAAACGGATGCCCAATGTAACTTTAACATCAATTTATTTTTTAAAAGTATATTAGATTCTAACTTAAATCTACTTTATTATCGATTTGGATGTTGTTTAAAAGTTTTTGAATTAAGATGAAATTGTTTGAGTTGTGAATATTGAATTTGTGTAATGTAATTTTTTTATTTTGATTTGAATTGGATTATAATAAACATTTTACATGTCTCTAGATTGGCTATTAAATAATTTTCATTCAGAACAAAAGAGATAGTAACTCTATGGTCTGCGCACAACTTAAAAAATATGTAATGAAGTGCTCCATATAAATTTACATGTAAGTGATGTAACAGGTAGGTTTTAAATATCATTTTAATTTACTTTTTCCACTATTTAATTGACTCATACCGTCATACTCTTCTCTCTTTTATGAAATAATTGAGGGTTATTAGTAAGACAAGGCCAAGTGGCCAACCAAGTTTCACTTCTTTTTGTTATTTGGTCATTTGGTATGGAAAGTCAGTTTATATACACCTTACAATTGTGCACAATGTACTGGCCTCTAAAGCCTTGTTTCGTGAGGGTAAATTTGGCCGAAAGATTAATTTGAAGACAAAGTGTTTGAATTTTTCGTTTTTTAGAAATAAAATACAAAGAAATCATAGAGAAAAACTGACATATAACCATTTCAGAAAAAAAATATATTTATAGTTGCACTACTTTGTTTTAGTCTAATCAACTCATACAATAAAACATCATAGCCAGAAGCCAAAATAGTAGGTTATCCGGCCCTAAAATTATCCAATTCTAGTTCATTTGGTTGTCTTAAAAGCGAGATCAAAAGAGTATGTATATCATATATCAAAAACGAGCTTCCAATTCAAAGAGAGCAACCTCGCCAGTCAAATCCTATAACCTCTTGTCGAATACAGAGATTATCCTTCTATGTCACAATATTAGGTTATGCCTAACAAAGAGTTATCTTTCAAGCAATGACTAACTTGACCAGAAATGCTTGTGCAACAACAACACAATTCACTATGGAATTGAGAGTATCCAGCCCTGCTTGCACAACATCTCTCTCCACCATGTGATAAATGAAGCTGGTTATATGACCCATTTCAAGCTTGTCCTACTTAATAGTTAATATTCTTAATCAAGTCATAAAATTGTTTCTTCATTTACAAAACTTGAGTGACCCACTTCCATCAATGTTTCCCTTCAACCCTTGTTGATTATGATATGCCCTTTCTTACACTACTTGTAACCCATTTGATAGCCAAAATGACTTGCTCTAAATTGCAAAATAAGCGACATACACAACTTTTGCCTTACTTGTTTGGCTAAATTGAATTTTACTAAATGATTTTCCTTTCAAAAACATCAAGACTCGGAGCATATCAGCCAACTAATCTTACTAAAACAATTAGACTTGGTGAAAAGCTAAAACGACACCTATGAGCCTAATATGATCTTTGATATGTTTAGGAGCGCCTGGTCTACGTATAAAGACTATAAGTGAATCGCGCTCCAAGGCTGGTCGACCTGCATTAGCAGTTGAATTTTTTTGTTGGGATTCCAACAACAACTTAGATAGACCTTTTGTATTTATTGTGGAATTTGATTGCCTTCTGAAGATAGGGTTGGTAGGTCTTGGCCTCTGGATGAGAAGATTTGTATTGCTTGAGAGTTGCATTCAATCTCCCTGCCATCTTCCCTATTTTTTGTGATTTTAAGGACGATGTTACAATGAGCTAAAAGTAGTCATACTTAACTAATAATGTTACGTATAAAATCCGCAAAAAAAAAAGATCATTGAAAGACCTAAAAAGGAAGTCATCTCTGTACTTATGTTAAGATTCAGAGAAAGCTCTCTTTATACCGCATCCCTCATGAGATAATGTAATTACTCCCATCTCGATTGCTTCTGTGGGAAGAGATATTGTGATGAGCATTTTGAGCAAGGACTGAGAAATTGAAATATTCCACTATGCCCCTCGTTTCTTTATGAGTTCACGAGGGGGGGGATTCATTCCAGATATCATTCATGAAATCGACTCCCTTATGCCAGCAGACCATAAAAAAGAAAATACTTCGTACAAACTTTGGTTTTTAATTAAATAGTAGAGTGAAAGTTGAACCGAAGTTAATGAAGAAATTATCAAGTTCAGTACACAAGTATTCAGGAATGATTAAACTGGACGATGCCATAAAACAACCACCATATACAATGTCAAGAGACTCAAGACAAAAAAATTCAAGATATACATGACCAACGCCAAATGGAACAGACCAGGTTTGGCTTCCTTTAATGGCCTTATGGCTTAATTCACTGGGTGATTTCTAACACAGTTGTGAACAACCTATTGCAGCACCTCTCAATTCACTCTTATTTGAATACTCTCAGTTCTAAACATCCTATTCTAGCGCCTCTCAGTTCATTCCTATTGCAAACTACATTCCGTTAGCAGATGAATCAGTGTGAGGAAGCTAAAAGGAATTGAAAACCTGCTCAGACAGAGGAAGAGAAGCAGAGAGAGATTCCTTACAGTGCAAAGGACAAGTGAGGAAGTTTCTCCAAACTTGCACAAAAGTGAATTTATAGTTCCTAAAGGCATGAGGTCTGGAGTAAGAGAATTTACTTCATCCATAACTAAAGATGAAATCAATGATAGGACATTCAATTAACATCATGATACGGGGTATTAATGAAGAAGAAGACGAGGAGAACGAAGGGGGAAAAACGGAGAAACGGAATCGAAACATACCTGGTTGGTGGAGAAGACGGAAACGATTGGAGTAGTTCGGTGTGGCTAGGGCGCGAAGAGACCACCTGCCATTAAATGCACGTACTGTTGACTTGACCACTGGTTTGGAAGCTTTCTATTTTTATAATATATCTTCCAGATTTCTCGGTCAATCATTTGCAATCAATCCAAAGCGTATCAGGCTCATTTAATGAGCATTAAATGCTTTCCTTGGACGGAATATCTTCTAGCCGTTGATGAATTTCCCAGCCGTTGAAAGTAGCCTTGAAATTCTTCCAAGTGTTAGTCGGACTCTGATCGGGGTCTTCTGATACGTTGGATTCTGATGGCTTACTGATGAGTAGTTCTGATGTAGCTTCAAGTCGAGCTCTGGTGTGGGAACTCTGATGGCTTACGTTGGATTCTGATGGCTTACTAATAATGTTACGTATAAAATCCGCAAAAAAAAGATCATTGAAAGACCTAAAAAGGAAGTCATCTCTGTACTTATGTTAAGATTCAGAGAAAGCTCTCTTTATACCGCATCCCTCATGAGATAATGTAATTACTCCCATCTCGATTGCTTCTGTGGGAAGAGATATTGTGATGAGCATTTTGAGCAAGGACTGAGAAATTGAAATATTCCACTATGCCCCTCGTTTCTTTATGAGTTCACGAGGGGGGGGATTCATTCCAGATATCATTCATGAAATCGACTCCCTTATGCCAGCAGACCATAAAAAAGAAAATACTTCGTACAAACTTTGGTTTTTAATTAAATAGTAGAGTGAAAGTTGAACCGAAGTTAATGAAGAAATTATCAAGTTCAGTACACAAGTATTCAGGAATGATTAAACTGGACGATGCCATAAAACAACCACCATATACAATGTCAAGAGACTCAAGACAAAAAAATTCAAGATATACATGACCAACGCCAAATGGAACAGACCAGGTTTGGCAACTCAAGAGTTTGAATTGACATATCTCAAAACAACAGTCTGATTTATGGTCATCAAAATACAGACTTGTGCCGTTGACAGCATAAATAGCCTTCTCTGAAGGAAAAATCTCTACTCCACTTCTTGAAGATAGTCCTCTATTTTAGCTAGTGTAAAAACTGTGCAAGGAAACCAACAATCACTCATGCTTTAAAAGAAAGGACATATACATGCATTAAAGGAAAGGTCACATACATGCTAAGAAAAATCTCTACTCCACTTATTGCAGATAGTCCTCTATCCACTTTCAGTCAAGCTAAGAAACTTGCCTGAACACTTCTATGGTATTTGTGACCATTCCTAGTAGTAAAAGCTTGCACTTTCATTGAGCTGACTAAAAAAATATTACCTTATTCAAGGCTTCAAGCATGACTTTTTGGGATGGAGAGATTATTATACTAATATTGACCCAAAAACAGCTTGGAATGTAGCAATTATATTGGAAATATAGAAAATATGTACTATACTTAAATCCTAATTATACTAACTGACCTCTTCTCAACAAATGTCTTTGCATTAGACCCATTCTTCCCCATGGACGAGGCTTTCCAAGAGAAATATGATCCGGAAGGATCTACGTATAAGACAAAAACTGAATGTTATACGAATTTGCAAACTTGTTAGACAGGAACATACTTCCTCCAGCTTGGTTGGAGAATAAACGAAAACCAATAAGTATATATTTTGAGTTAACTCACTATATTAAGTACAAAAAGATACATATAACGATTTATGGAAAAATGATCTGACAATTGGTACTTCATACGTGATAATGTGGAGCAACTAAAATTATAAACAACTGAAATTATACATAGTATAATATGATAAGTCAAATTGGTACTTCATAAATTCACGATCATCTTTAAGCAGACTTTGATTCATACATGACTCTTGTGAAGCAAACAAATTTCATTCTCTTGAAATACGCTAATTCCGTACTGCAGCAATTTACTAACTTTACCCGCCTTCCCATTTCTCTATTATTAAAGTAGCCCAATAAGAATAAGTATAACACTTGGTGTAGAGTGTGAAGACTTCACAATTGTAGGGAAAGGGGAAAAGGGTTCCAATATAGTTTTATTAACCGAATGAAGTTAGAAGAGAGGCTAAATGTTCAGTTCAATGCATAAAACTTATTTACCCTAGGCCAGACTTTAGATTGGTTTGAGAGAAGGAAGCTTCCTTTAATGGCCTTATGGCTTAATTCACTGGGTGATTTCTAACACAGTTGTGAACAACCTATTGCAGCACCTCTCAATTCACTCTTATTTGAATACTCTCAGTTCTAAACATCCTATTCTAGCGCCTCTCAGTTCATTCCTATTGCAAACTACATTCCGTTAGCAGATGAATCAGTGTGAGGAAGCTAAAAGGAATTGAAAACCTGCTCAGACAGAGGAAGAGAAGCAGAGAGAGATTCCTTATAGTGCAAAGGACAAGTGAGGAAGTTTCTCCAAACTTGCACAAAAGTGAATTTATAGTTCCTAAAGGCATGAGGTCTGGAGTAAGAGAATTTACTTCATCCATAACTAAAGATGAAATCAATGATAGGACATTCAATTAACATCATGATACGGGGTATTAATGAAGAAGAAGACGAGGAGAACGAAGGGGGAAAAACGGAGAAACGGAATCGAAACATACCTGGTTGGTGGAGAAGACGGAAACGATTGGAGCAGTTCGGTGTGGCTAGGGCGCGAAGAGACCACCTGCGTCATAGCAGGCTAGGGTCCGCTTAGAGATGAAACCAGCAGGAGGTCGTCCGCAGGTGAAATAACAAGAGACGGTGGATTATTAGACGGTAGTTATGAGACGGAAATTAAACGGAAAAAATCCATTCCTTCAAAAGAGTACATATGATAAAACACATGATACCACCTCTTAATGCTAAATGATTACACCAACATTTTTCCCATCCCTAAAACACCCTAACCTCCATTGGCAATTATAAGATTTTAAGATATATTATATTATATGGCAGACGTGGTTGTAGCCTTAGCTTTTTTATGTTTTCAATTACATTAGTTTTAGTTTCAAATGGGATTGAAGTACACTTAAAAAAACAACTCATATTTGACAATATTTAATTAGACAATATTAATAGGGGTTTTTTCCTGAATATTATTAATTTAGAACCAATTACCCAAAAAGTGATCACTTTTAAAAAGGGGCAAAAAAGTGTTCAAGAAGGTCATATATGTGGGATTAGAAAACATGATGTCACTGCAAAAAATTTATGTCACTGTGTTCGCTTTTTTTGTAACTACAGCCACCACCCGTGTCACTGTAGCCACCGCCCGTGTCACTGTAGCCACCGCCCGTGTCACTGTAGCCACCGCCCGTGTCACTGTAGCCACCGCCCTTGTCACTCTAACCACAGTCCGTGTCACTCTAGCCACAGTCCGTGTCACTATGATATATGATAGTTTCGTTTAGTGACGCGGCCCACATTAGTCGATGACCAACACCATAGCTGGCCGCCACAACGACAGTTGTCCCTGCAACACCCCGCCTGCCCTGCCCCACCACCATCACCACACTCCCGAACCCTAGCCCCAAAACCACCATCCCTGCCCCTCCCCGTCCTCACCCCGAGCACCCCAGCTCTTTGTCCAGCCCCGCCCTGTGACCTGCCACCAGCCCCTCCCTAGCCACTGCCAAACACCACCCCGCCCCTTCCCTGCAAAGCGCTGCATCACCACCATGCCACCGCTACTTGTCACAACCCTAGCTGCCAACATCAGATCTGAAACCCAACCGAACCCATAGCATACCGTCAATAACAGATCTGGCCACCGCCGTCAATGACATATGTAACCACCGCTAAGGCCACGCAACCATGCCATCCCAAATCAGAACATGGCCGACGACGATGGTGGCGAGTTGTGAATGGACGGCTTGGAGACGGTGGCGAGGCGACGACAATGGTGGCGAGTTGCGAATGGACGGCTTGGAGACGGTGGCGACACGACGACGATGGCCAAGCGATGGTGGCCGCACGATGGCGACGGCTGGCCGCTGGAGACATCGCGTTGGTAGAGGCACCGATCTGGGAGAAGAAGACGACGATTGGGGGCATAGGAGTACGATTATCGAAGATCGAGAGCAGAGGAGGACGATTCTCGTCCGATGCAAAGGTAGCGTGTAAGGAAGATAATAAGGAGAACTGACCGATGGATACTTCTAATTTTTAACTCACTTTTTTGTCAAATTGAAATATGGTCATAATTTTATCCATATAAAGTGCGTGACTAATACTCTTGCCATTATTTCATATTAATATACACGAGTTTGCAAATGCTTTTCCTTAAAAAAGCACTTTTTTGGAGTGATTTTGGAAAAGTGATTCGTAGTAAAAGTTGACAGTGTTTGAGAAAGAAGTGATTTTGAAAAGTAAAAGTTGGTAGTGTTTGGTAAAATAAGTATTTTTTGTGTAACAGAAAAAGTAAAAAACACTTTTCCGCACAAAAGCAGGGAAACACTTTTTTAAGTAGAAGTTGTCCTTTGAAAACACTATTTTTAGCTTTTTTAAACCAAAAGCCCAGAAGCCTTTTTTTTAAATAGTTGCAAACACTCCCTAAAATTATAAAAAGTAAAAGTGAAATATCAAAAAGGTCATTGAGATAATAGTCAGGAGACTAAACGTAACAAACGCTATTCCCTCTATTCCCAAAAATACTTCTCACTTTCTTTTTTGGGCCGTTCCCAAAAATACTTCCAACTTTCCCTTTTTGGACAATTTGTGTGGTTCACATTCATTTTGCCCTTTTCTTACACGACAACAATCATACATTTCAACTTTCTTAATAAGCGTGCCATTCAAACTTGGAAGAATTTTTTGGAACGAAGGTAGTATAATATACACATATTTGAACTATCATACACTATCATACTACCCACCAGATAAAGCAAAACTTAATAAAATAAGATCTAACCACACTTAAACAGAGCTAATCAGATTAGAAATGTTCATTCAAAAAAGACTATTCACCCAATGCAACCACAAGAAAAACATCTACTCCGTATGATTATTAACTATATATCATTATTAAGCTATTATTAAAATGATCATATTTTTAATACCAATTAAAAAAAAGTCATCTTATAAAATGGATCGGGAAAAGTGATAATTTCATTTATGCATAAATTTAACACCAACAGACATCCAAAATGGATTGTAATAAAGGATAATTTCACATTCACCATTTTCACTAATTTCTACAACACAAACGAGCAAATAAAATTAGAAATATTGCCTCAAATAGGACTAAATTGTTCCTGAAATTCCTAAATAGGACTATGTATATTTTTATTCCCCAAATGGGACCAAATTACTCTTTTAACCTTATTTTCTTCCCTTTATTTTACCTGCGCACACATCGATCCCATCCCCCAACGGCCCAGTGCATTAATCTTCTTCTTCCCTGCCTATTTCTTCTCTCTCTTCTGCAATTCTTCCCTGCCTATTTTCTTCTCTTCCTCCTGCGCATTTCTTCTCCCTCCCTTACCTATCTTCTTCTCCTTCCACCTGCGCATAGGAACAATAAACTTACAAGCTCACTCATAGGCATCTCTGCCACCGCCGTGAAGGCCACCGCCGCTGCTGCCGCAGTCGCAATGGCCACCTCCTCTGCTGCTGCCGTCACGAAGGCCACCACCACTGCTGTCGCCGGAGATAAACTTTTCTTCTCCGACGTAGATCTGCTTCTCTTCTCTGATTGTTCTGCTCCATTTCTTCTTTGATTGCAAAATGCCAAGTTAAATCTCAAAATGCCATCAAAATGGCATTTTTAGTCTTAAAAAATTTTGTGTTTTCATTTGAAAATGCCTTTAAGATGGCATTCTGATAAAAATCTTGGCATTTACGCCGGAATCGGGTAGATCCGCAACTGTGAAGGTCAAATTTGTAGCGGTGGATGCCAGAGTAGTTGCGAAGGTGGCTGGATCTGAAGGGACAGCGGCCGACGGCCGACGGAGGCTCAATCTGGCCAGATCTCCGGCGGCGCCCGCCAGATCTGCAACGGCGGTGGGCAGATCTGCAACGGCGGCCAATTTTTGAAGTTGTCGGCGATGTTCGGCGACCGGCGGAGACTGGCGGCGACCGGCGGCGACCGGCGGCGAATGGCGGCGACCGGCGAGTGGCTATGGTCCAGTGTTGTGGTCTGCGGGAGTATGGCTTGGCCAAGCTTGGGGGTATTTTTTGTCTAATTGCAAACAATAACTCTTATTTGGGGAATTTGTGAACTTTGGTCTTATTTTGGCAATTAAAGACTGATTTACTCCTATTTAGGTAAATACCTCATAAAATTACCGTGCAAATGCACGGGTACACAAACTAGTATTCAATAATACGGAGTATTTGTTTTTTTTTATGTTGGGCCAGGAATTCGGAATTTTTTGTTATTATATGGTATCATGGTTTATGAATAATACAATAAGACGTATGTTCGTGTATAGTACGATACAATTATATAAAATACTTCTACATATATGTTTTATACTTTTGTGAAATGAATACACATTCGGACGCCAGCAGGGGCAGACTTAGGCATCGAAGACCGGTGTATGCACACATATAATATCAAAACTACATTTTAATAGGAATATAATAAAAAGAAAATTATACATTAACAAAATTATGGAGCAAATTGAAGAGTAAATTGGAAGAAAAAGTACTTGAAGATGAGCGATTAGCGGACCATAAGGCGTCAGTAGTTTGCTGATTCTTTGCTTTAGGTATTTGAGTAGTTTGTTTCAAAAAATGTTATTGGACATTTAAATATATGCCTATTTGTAATTTGGCTTTGAATTTGGATCCGTAACTTCAGCATGTGCAGTGATGCAATGGTAAAATAGGGAATGAAGTTATGAAACTGAGGAGCTTCGAAGACCCGACCTAAAGCATTGTTATATTCCGAAAACAATTCTAATACCATCTAGCTAGGCTTATGACTATTTTTGAGGTGTGGCCTGCAGACACCCTAATTATATTGTAAGTCCGCAAATGCAGACGCGTTTTAAGCATTTCACAATTTAAAAATACGATATATAATATGTGTCTTATATATTAATTTAATAATAGAAATAAAGACTAATTTAACATATGCACGACATTTTTTAGCACTTTAAAATGTAAGAAATAGTTTTTCAGATATACGAATTTGAATTTATAGGTACTACAAGTAATAAAAATGGCCTTGCGGCCTACTTGAGTAGAAGTAAAGAGATATTAGTAGAGAATATTTGATATTACTGTGGCCGTAAGTTTGGTGAGCCGTCACAATATTCTTTTTCTCTTTGGAGTCTTTATATGAGTGGAACACAATAGCCTTCCTTGAGGCCAAGAGGGACCTGGCGGAGGCCATACGACGCATGGCAGATCAACACGACGCGGAGCGGACCGTCTACTTGGCGGAAATCGAGCATACGCCCCATTCCCCAATTCGGCACATGCAGCCGTTTGGGGAGTACACAGGCGAGACCGAGGGTTCTCATACCTCAGTTCATACGCGAATTGGCGCGGCGCCACACTCCCAAGATATGGGAGGCCAAAGAGGAACAGGTGTTCCAAGACACCGACGACGTGCCAACACAGACCGAACTCCAGTGGTACCGCATAACAGCATGCAGTCTAGGGACCCTACTCCCACTGTGAACAACGTGGGCCGCCGTTTCCACTAAATTGAGGGGAATGGCAGTCGCATTATCCAAAGGCAACACGGCGCAGACGTGGCCCGTGCGGAAGTTGTGACAGCAGTCATGAATCCCGTGGCCCCCATTCCTACGGTACATGATGTGATGCTGGCTGGATACAAAGGCAAATCGACGAGTTGACTCGCCGGGCGGATAATAGGTCGACATAGCCTTGTATTGGTCTCACTCCCCCCTTCTCTCCGAGGATCATGGCTGCTGAGATTCCCCGAGAATGCAGGCCACCGAGCATCTTCTTGATATACAATGGGGTGGGGGACCCTAAGGCCCACCTGTTCACTTTCCAGGGTGGGCTCACGATGTTGGGAGCATCCGATGATGCCATGTGCAGATTATTCTTCAGCACCCTTCGGGGCCTGCCTTAGAGTGGTTCGGCCAGCTGCGGCAATAGTAATACTAAGACTCTGTATCGATGAATACCTCAATTTTAAATAACTAACTTATGGGGTAAAATTATAGATAGTATCAACTATCAATTACATAATAGTAGTTTAGTAATTAGAGCAATGTATTTCAATTATTTATTTAGCTGAATATCTTGTTGAATTTTAATCTGAACTTATGTGCAGAATTTACACTTCATGAGTATCATGCTCACAAATTTTCATCAAATAATTTCACTCGAAAGCACCTCAAACGGACTTGGCCGGACGACACTTACATTTAATCCAATTGTATGAGAAGATTACTCTTATATATACACACTAGAAAAAAATTATGGGATTGACACAGATTTGTTAGAGATATACCGAGATTTCGTGCCAGTGTTTTTGGCACAGATTTGGCATATCACTCTCAAATCCTATATGAATTTTGATGAATCCCTGCAAAAAAATTCTGGCAATCCCATATTTTTTTGTAGCGATATATTTATCTATATATTTAAATTCAAAATGATAGTGAAATATGAAGTAACTAAGTTAGTGAAAGAGAGAGAGTCTAATAAAAATAAAAATGATAAAGTACACATATTATATAATAATCATTTATTTGTATGTATAAATACATTATTAATTTTAAAAATAGAAAATTTATTTATAACTTGAATTCAAACTTGAGTTTAAACATTTTATTCGAGCCCGAGCATATAGAAATTTGAGCCGACCACGAACCGAGCCATATCCAGTCGATTTGGACCCTTAGTTTGGACGGGGAATACAAATTAATCACTTTTAGTTGTTAAGATTGTAATGATATGTCATACTCCGTATTGAGGGGATAATTACTTTTGCCCTAGCAAGAGCTTCTCGCGTAGGGCTTGTCTTCGCCGCCCTAGTGCGGCGCTCTGCTTTTCGACGAAGATGGAGGATGCAGCGGGAGAGAGGCGCAGGGATGATCGAATCCATAAGGGCGGCGAATTGGTGGACATGGTTAGCGTGGTGATTTCGACCGCTCAACTCGACGATATGGATGTGGGCCTTACGGCGGATACGCTACTGATCGAAGATGTTGGTGATTCAGAATCCGAAGCCGGGGGAACAACGAGAGAGGGAATCAATCGAGTGACGGTCCGACCTCCTCCTGAACCACCGCCAGGGATTGAACGAGGTGCTAGGGTTCAAGACAGTTATTTTGCTTATTTAGTTTTTCTCATGCTTTGTCTCCCTCCGAAGAGTTTATATCTTTTTGTTCTTTGGGTTCTTGTTACTGTCCATGCTAGGTTTGCCAGTTTGTTTGGTTTTTTAGCCTTTTGTTGTGTCATTAGGTATGTTTGGATCTGTGGGAACAGGGATGGTTGTGTCAAGCTTGATACATGATCAGCGATTCGTGTGGCTCTTTCAGGGCTTACCGTCTCCAAGTTTGGTCATATGGTTTACAGTCATAATTGTTGGTGTTTAGCTGGTGTCAATATTGTCTTTCCTTTGATTGATGTAATGATCCTGAAACTACTTATGATATGAAAAGAGGCCAGTTTCGTTCAAAAAAAGATTGTAATGATATGTCTTTTTATAGATTAATACAATAATATGCAAATAAGGAGAAAAAGGCAAAGTAACACCAATCAGGGGTCCTATATGATTGAAAGCTAAGGGGCAGAGAATTAAAATGTCCCTAACCTTAAGAAAATTAGGGGTGGGTCAGACAAATCAAAAATCGAATAAAAAAAACCCGAACCGCAACCAAAACAACCAAACCGCAAGAAAACCAAAACCGAACTCAAAAAACTGAACCGTAGTTGTTTGGTTTCGGTTTTGGTTTTCACATCTCAAAACCGAACCAAACAAACCAAACAAACCGAACTTTTTAAAACTTGTTGTTTTATTTATTAATCATTAAGTATAATATTTTATTTAGTTCTTAATTAAAAAAATTAATGTTTGATACTAGATTTATTATGATTTGCAAGATATTGACATTTAATATTCATGCTTTAATTAAGTGAAACACTTGTACATACACTTAAGTCTATTGCTATAATACTAATATGTTGATATTTTAAATCGTACACTTTTTTTATATTTGTTTATATTTTTTTTTTGATATTTTGTTGTAGCATATATGACAATGATTTTTTATATATATTATATGTTATGTAAGTTTGTTATCACATAATTGTTTATATTGAACAAATATGTACTCCGTATTAATATGAAATATATAAATTGTACTTTAAACAGCATAGCATAAAACATGAAACTTTGGACCATAACTATTATTGTTTAAACAGGAATAGGTTATTTACTAATAAAATTTTAACTTGCAAATACACTGTATATAATTCACAAATAAACTCATGCGTTTAATTAATTTAGAAAATGTTTAAATTAATATACATGTACTCTCTAATTCATTACTTGGAAGTGTATTTGTTTCTTCTCTCTTATTTAATTATGTATGTTTTTGTATTGTTTAACTACTATTAATAGTTTGATGTAGTTTTTTTGTTTTCCAATTAATATTTTTCTAAACAACAAAAATGTTTTGGTAAAAACCGAAAAAACCGAAACCGAACCGAATTAAATCAAACCGAACAAACAGTGGTTCCAATTTTTTGAACATAAAACCGAACCGAACTTTTTACTTTGGTTCGGCATTTGGTTTTAGGTGAAAACCGAACCGTTTGAACTGAACCCACCCCTAAAGAAAATTGTAAAGCCTTTTAAGTCTAATAATAATAATAATAATAATAATAATAATAATAATAATAATAATAATAATAATAATAATAATAATAATAATAATAATAATAATAATAATAATAATAATAATAATAATAATAATAATAATAATAATAATAATAATAATAATAATAATAATAATAATAATAATAATAATAATAATAATAATAATAATAATAATAATAATAATAATAATAATAATAATAATAATAATAATAAATAATAATAATAATAATAATAATAATAATAATAATAATAATAATAATAATAATAATAATAATAATAATAATAATAATAATAATAATAATAATAATAATAATAATAATAATAATAATAATAATAATAATAATAATAATAATAATATATAATATAATAATAATAATAATAATAATAATAATAATAATAATAATAATAATAATAATAATAATAATAATAATAAAATAATAATAATAATAATAATAATAATAATAATAATAATAATAATAATAATAATAATAATAATAATAATAATAATAATAATAATAAT